CTTTATTGTAAAGTTCTCAGCGGCTTTGCGTAAACGCCAACGGCGTACAGCGTTTCCGTCTATTGCTATTATCGTGTGTGTTATCCGGCTACACGGCGGCGGATGATCCGGCGTTAAACATCCGCCGCGCCGTATGCGCTTTTGTCGAAACTTGGAATCGCACATGGGACGATCGCATCGCACAGAGTTACACGTACCGAAATTGACACAGATTTCAGAATGGCATCTCGTCAGAACAACGGTATCCAGATTGCCTTTCTCGTATCGAACATTACAATTCGATAACCTAAATGTACGCGTGGTTGCGTTAGTCCGTATCCTATTGGATAGGTAGGTAGGATATAGCTACAGCGGACTGAGTGGACGCAGTTTCCCTGTTCAGAAGCTGAGCTGCACGGTGTGCAATGTCCGATCCAATCTGCGTGTGTATGGGCTACGGCTAACGGACGCCAACCAGGTCTAACCATCCTAGTGTACGTAGTATCGCCATTCCCTTCGATCTACATGTACGCATCGACAGTGCAAAGCCCAATGTAACTAGCACGCGTGTGGATACAGCCGACCGAGAACGCTGTGTTCAGCGGCACGGGATGGTCGGGATGGTCGGCCCGGAAGCCTCGCCAAAGGCGACAAGGGATGTCCGCTGCCCAAATTGCTCATCCTTGCTTACACAAGCTACTTTTTCGATCCTGAAGCTGACGCAGAATGCGGAGAATTTTTACGCTATTTCTTGATTATTTTACGCTTGTACGTTTATTTTCTAATTTCTTTTATTCTCTACATTATTTTTATTATTATTATTATTATTATTATTATTATTATTATTGTTATTATTAGATGTAGAGAAATATTTATTATAATATTTCTTTTTTATTTTTATTCAAAACTTTTAAGGATAGTATATAAAAGGAGGATGTTTATGTGCAATATATTATACATGTGTAAACTACATATTTTTCACGTAAGTACTGTACATTTTCTAAAAATAAAGAATGTAATAATGTTAGAATAGTAGAATATTTTCAAATTGAATAGATGTTTATGGCTCATGTTCAGAACGCACTTGTCACGATTATACTTATAACATTAATGCACATTTAGTATATCGTTCGCGTATATAAAATTTCAAAATAAAAATACGCATTTATCGCATGCAAAGCACATTCTAAACACGGATCTATACCTTTTGTAATATTTTTCTTTGAAAGTAATCGCACAGTCAGTTTTATATTTAATCGAGATGATTTGAGTCAAACAAAATGGTTATGGATAGTGTGACTGTTGTGCAGTATATCGGATAGAATGTTTGATTAGTTTCATTCGCCCGGCAAATGTCAAAGCTGCAAAATTCTCTCAAATGGTGTTTGGTAAATCGATCTCGTGAATACTACGAACGAAGGATTTTTAACAATGTAGTTGTGATTTGCGCTTGGGCGTTCGTTTTCGGTATCGTTGAATCATGTTGTCGAAACTTCGATTTATTGTCCATGAATTTTCCGTTGGTGATTCAAGAAATGCGAGATTTATGGTCACAACCTGAAAATGGCCACACTAGTGAATAAAGTTGTACAGCAGTATGCAATAAATTGTATTAATCAATTGCATTGTTTGGTTTGAAAAAACAAATGTTTGAAAATTTTCCTCCTATCATTTTTCCTAATTGAATTCATGTGTCATCTTAATTTGCACAAGTTCAATCAAGTTCAATGCAAAATTGTAATTGTTAGAGTTTAAAGCTTTGTTAATGTCACATTTTATATTATAAAATATAAACTTTTCTCACATTACGTGGATAATATGTTACAGACACCGATATTATATTTAGCTCGCTAAACTCATATCGGCTAGTCACGAGATTAATTATATTGTAAACCGAGCCAACTACAGTTCGCGAACTCGCAGACTCGTTTCCGTATTTGATATGATTCCGAAGTAATACGAATCCGGGTGAAGCCTCGTTGTTGAATCTAGGGTAGCAATGGGAATAGTTCGTAACATTATAAGCTTTTGTTGGATGGCGTGAACCGTGAGCTAAACGCTTCTAACTCCTGTTACTAGTAACTAGTAATTAAGCGAGGCGCTGCTGTGTGAAACGACCCACCTACCTGCTTCTGTCCCTCGCACCTTTCTACGATTCTGAAGATTGCAGTACGAAACATCCGTACCTGTGAACGTACCTTATCCATGATATAAATCAGTGAAAATAACATATAGAAGTCTACAATGTTTTATAATTTCCAATTTCAATTTTTAAGTCATAAGTAATCCAATCAAGACATATTTATTTTAACATTTTTTTATATTTTCATAATTTTTTAAAATGATATTTGATAATGACTATAACTGATTATTACCATTTCTAGTGTCAGGTCTTTAAAATATTCAGTATTCTAAGCGAGTATAATTATAATATTTTATGTTTAAAAACACATAGGCATAGAAAAGTATATTAAGAGAAAAATTTATCATTTCAATAATTGTTATTTCAGAGCTCAGAGCAGCTCATTCGAAAAAAGACGTACCTACATTACATTTTAATTGAGGTTCATTCTCTCATATGTATACTGCATGCTTACTTTTTTTACGTAATTATGTGCGCTTTTCGTGCAATACTAAATATATTACGAACATTGGGTATATAATATTTAGCAAAACATCTGAGTAATATTTCGATCATGATACATGTTGAAATTTAATATGTGGAAATTTATTAATACGGTACTTATTAAACAATATATACATCAATTAATTATTTAAAGTTATTAAAATGTTAAAGTTGTCGATTATAAAGAAAAAAAAACCATGCACTTTCTAATAATATCCTAAATATTTGTAAATTAAATATTTGAAATTAATTTTTTCTTTGACGAAAGTTGATTGGACTATACCTTTGCTATTTTTTTTAATATTGCTTTAATTATTATTTGAGATTAATCAAAGAGTAATTTTTCTTTCTTCTTATAAATTATATAATACTGAGTTAGGTTGTAATACTGAAGCTATCGTTTTTTTTAAATGTTAAAACACATTCTTCTTAATTTAGATTCTAGTATTTGCTGCATGTCATTTCTAATTAATTTTGTTTGTATTGATTGTGTAATCTAATTAAAATAAGATATTCAATGATAATACGTCTTTTACATACGAAATGTAAATTGTAATATAATCCTTGAGGTGTAACGTTTACTGGCGCCGGTATTAATAACGCCTTAATTGGAAATTAGACTATGATATAAGCGTTCGACCTTCCTTTCCTGGAGCATGGGTCGCGCCATATATGGCGAAGTTAATTCCTTTAATTAATAATACAGCTTAGAGTGTAAAGACTGCAAAGTGACTAGCAAACGCCGAGTCGCTTTTATTTGGCGACATAAAATTAAAACTACAAAATTATGTATAACATAATATATAAATAATGTGCAAGTTCTTTTTTAATTTCCTTGCTTTTATGATATATATTAAAATTTAAAATTATTCCTGGATAGGCCTTCACAATAATTATATTGCGTTATGGTGATCTGGATATTATCCAGACGATATCGTTATCATATTAAAAAAATTGATACATGCAATGCATATAGAATAATGGATTTGAGGGATTTTTCATCGATAATGTTTCGTTGAGGATCAGTATATGTTGGATACGTTTCTCTTTCTAGGATAAAACACACTTTGCAATAATCCAGGAATAAAATGATGCCTTCGCAGATTGAAAAAGTTAGGATTTTACCTTTTATACTGTATCCAATTTGGAGTGATGTAAAACCGTCTATTACATGACCTCCGCGAATCACGTGACGTTTGCAAATACATGCAAGTCTTGGAAAACACGCAGCTTAGAACGCGAGCCTTATTCTGTCATAAGAATGATTTAGGCCATATTGATTAAGAAATTACGTGAACTTATTCCTCTCGTGCCTTTATATTGCCTATTCGTCACTTTTAAGACTCCAGTACATGTAACACATTTTATATTAAATTAATATAAGAATTAATATAAGAACATAAAAAACGTGTTAAATCAATTAACGCAGAGCTTCGTAACAATTTTTAGATTCTTCTGAATTTTTTTAATACGTGCAGGAAATGCATTAAATATAAATCTTACGAAGTATTATGAGAGATATCTAAACAGAAATAATAAAAGATTCGAAACTCTGTGCGTTCTATTTCTACTAAAGTATCTACTAGAGCATTTGCAGAATCGATCGATTAGCTGCGATATATCATATCGGATTTTTTTTCGGTTCTTTTTAAATTTAATTATGACGATATTTCGAGTATTCCTCATATATACTTTGCCTTCATTTCTTTTATCGTATTTTCGAATGTTTTTACACGCAAGGAAAGTTCTTACAATTAGTATAATTAAATTTAACACAAGTAAACTTGTTCAGTTTATCTGTTTAAAATAATTTTGATAATTTAGTATAATTTGTATAATTTAATTACATTTTTGTACAATTTAATTACATTTACATTTGAATTTAATATCGAGCGATAGAATATGAAACGTAATGATTACATCGGGATTAACATCAGAGTCCAAACATATGATCGATAAACAACATGTTTTTTTTTTCATCAGTATGTCTCCCGAATCTGTGACGAATGTTTTTTTCCGCAAAAACTAGGACAACGCCGAAAAGTTCGTTTTCGATAGCACGAATAGTATTTTCAAAAATGTTGTGCAATTTCGCGTGGCAGCGTGTACGACGGTGCCCTCTCGACGACAAGGTGATACGGGCAAAAGCGGAGCACCGTGCCGTTCATGGTGGGTGGCGGGGATATGAGGAGGGGTGTCGGATACGAGGAGGGGTTGAATGGGTGGCGGATCTCCCGCCGCTCGCTTCACGGCGAATGGTTCACCGGACGCCCGTCGTCGGGGCGCTGCAGCCCGGTAGGACGTCAGTTCTCCATTGTATCGCGCCAGGGTCGGACCTGGATCCCACAGACGCGCGCGCACACACACGTACAACACACACACTCACACACACACTCATATATCCATACGTACGTACGTACGTACGTATGTACGCACGAACGCACGCACGCACGCGCGCGCGGATTCCAGTGAACGCGGCGGGAGTAGTCGCGCGACTATGAGTGAATCGCGCTTGTCTCGGCTAATTACTCATCGATGATAATTGATAACGTGGGCACAATTAAACGCGACGTGCTCTCGCTCGTACGATCGAGTGTTCGCGCCAAGTTTGCGCGAGTGTCAGCCGCCAGAACGCTGGCGGCTGCCGAGGGTGAATAGTGACATATTCGAGAGGCGATTCGACTGATCGGTCACGGGTCAAGTGTCGCGAGATAACGACGAGAGAGAGATATCGACAAGCGTTTCGAAATTGTCAGGAAGGAGTACGGACGATATATCAGGAGACAGTAAACAGAAATAATTGGAGATAATAGTGAGCGCGACAAGTAGTGACGGTTTGTAACGAAGGAGACAGTAGTCGCGCAGCAGATTCCACCGCCACGGGACTCAGTGATAGCGGCTCGCGGTGGTCAGACCGGCTGACAGAAGGCTTCGGTGGATCAGCTGACAGAGCACGATATCCGCCACATCGTGACGCACTAGATAAAACGGAGATATATATATATATATATGTTACGGCATATGTACATCCGCGATAACAGCGAACATGCGAGCACGTTTAATCGACGCACATATGCGTAACCGTCGCGTCTCGCCACCGAGGATTCAATTAAGCTTACCGTTCGAGAAAGGTCAAGTAGCTACGCTATGCGAACGACGGGGTAAGGAACCTGAGTTTTAATTAAAACTCGCCCATGGGATTCCCATTATCGCGCGCACCTCTCGTATTCGGGATTAATTAGCTGCGTCGGAAATAAAAGCAGCAGGGCTAGGTAAAAAGGTGGTTACCGCTAGCTCGTATGTTGTCTTCGTAACACTTGTGTGACTTGAGTTTTGTGCAATGCATCAGGAGCCTTCTCGAGCCCGTCCTCATCGTCATGAACGAGCTTCTTCTCTGGTCGCACTGCGGCTGGCTTAGTTAGTGATCGTGACGATTTTAATGGCGGCACTTTAATTAATAAATGCGAGTGACAGATAGTGCAATTGCGATTGGAGTTAAAAATCATCATTTCGAAGCTAGAGACGGTAGAAAAAGTAGAAAATAGCGAGCGTCCTATATTTGACGCTCTTCTGCCAACGATGTTCAAGTAGGACGATTCTTGGTGATTGGCGATAGGTAAGCGAAATCATAACTCGCGTCGAAAAAGAATGAATTTTTTTATACATACATAATATTAAATGTTGCTAGAATTCGTCGCATACATGCCATACTTGCATAATATCGTAATTTCTATGAGTTTCCTTTCCAAATTACGTAGATTGTTGTCTTAAACATTGTGAGGTTTAATAAAACATAAATGTCGATGAATTCCGATATATTCTATTGATCCAGTTCTTTTAAAACTGACTTTACATGATGAAAGTTGATTTATATGATATTTACGAACTGCAATTATTGTATTAATATTCTACATTGTCTCGTGTTGTTATTTGTTTAATGCATTTAATTAGTTGCAAATTACAATAACGTAATAATGCATCAATTGCTCTATTACATATTTTACTACATGATACTCAATATAATGTCGAACTTTCCTTTGTTTTTCGTCGCATTGCAACATCAAAAGCTGCAATGTGATATTTAGTTGTCAGCTCGCGGAGTATGTACCTTAGACTCATCAAATATTGGTTGCAGTTAATTACATCGATCGAACGCGCGGTCATAATTCCATTAACTTCAAGTAAGTAATTTCGATTTATTCGCGTGAAATGAAGTATCATTCTGTAATGT